CCAGCATGGCTGGCTGGGGAATTCTGGAAGTTGAAGTCTACACATCTCCAAGTTGCCATGGTTGAGGAACACTGCTCTAATTACTTCCTGACTGAGTTGTTTCAAGAAGACCAGTAAATATAATAGATTTGGTGGCATTTAAGTTTTTATCTTAAATCCTATTTTCCTGTTCTGATATGCATGCTTACAGATCCAGCACATGACTTAGAGAAGTAAGGGAGAGGATAGACAATGCAGGGTATAATAGTCTGCAACTAAATGAGTTCTATGTGCGTTTATGTGTCTGTTACTCCTGCAGAACAAATCAATAAGCAGACCTCACAACAGCCATTGCTTACAGAAGTCACCATCGTGTAGGAAAACCAAAGTAAAAAATTTAAAAAAAAACAATCTTGATTTAATAGAAACTGACAGCATTTAGCCATTATCAAAATAGGTGGTAAACTGACAGTTGATCAACATCCAACTTTATTTATAACTGCATTTTTTGCTGACTACTATATAATAAAATCTGTATAATTAATTTTTTGATTAAACAAACATCAGAGCTGAGTATAATGGAATCTTGTATCACCAACATTTTCATTCATATAATATCCACCAGCATATATACTGTCACCTACCCCCAATGCCCGCCAGCATTCTATGGAAGACAAGTTAGTTTCTGAGCAATATGAGAAATGATAATAAATCAGGTGATTTTGCTCTCCTGTAATTTAAGCAACAAGTACCTATAAAACGAGCATTCATTCTGCCTTGGTGAATAATCTTAGCTTATTTATTAATGTTTCTGAATCACTTATAATTGCCAATAAGTAGGCAGCTACTTTAATTCTAGATTTTTCATTTCTAACTTGATTTTCGTTTGTTTTCATTATGGATTAAATATTCTGAGATTGTCACCTGTAGAAACTGCTTTCTTACCAATGCTCAGCACCACTGTTTTTTGCTTGCTCCGCTTCCTGCAGGTGTCGTGTAGCTGCTGCAGCCAAAGCTGTTGCACTTTCATTCTGGAAATCAGCTGCCACAGCCTATACAGAAGTATGACAATAGCTCACATTTTCTAGAAAAGGTAAAGGGAACCTTCATATCACTATACTTTGTTGATAATGAAGTTAGTAGTTATAGTGAATAGTTTCAAAACAAAGACAATCTAAGTCAAGAAAAAAATACTAACAACACTGTCTTCTTTCTAGCATAGAAATAGTCTAGATACTCAAAGGAAATATAGTGATGGCTAAGGATGGGGACAGAATAGAGATCAACATAGCAAACACTTTCAGTCTCACACAATTCTGGTAATATGAGAAAGAATCACATTTTCAGAAACCCCTGAAATTCCATTATATGTCACACTGGATAGGTTTCCTTCATGCCTTCCAGGCTCAGCTGAAATCAGCTTATAGACAGTTCCTCTGCTCCAATTCACTGGCTGCTAAGTGCAGGGAGGCAGGGAAATACTGATCCAGGTACATTTTTAAACTCAGTATTATCAGAGCAAAAAAGTTTAAAAGCAATCCTAACCCCAATCATGTGTATCTTGTTTCCAAAACTGTGGTAAATAATTAAAAAAAGAAAAAATGCTAAATAAAAATAGTTCTATAATTCTAATTAAATACCCTTTCTGACCTTCATTATGTTTATGTGTCTCCTTTTAAACTATCCATCAATTGCTTCATTCTACTTTCAGCCTAAAACCTGAGATCAAAGTAGTTCTTATAAAATAGCACAAAAGTCACAAATTGTCAGACAGCAAGCATTAAGAATCAAGTATGTACATAGGTTAGATACAGTAAGTTACATATTGAAAACCACTTACATTTGTCACTATTGTATAGATCAAAAGAAACAAACCTATAGTCTTCCACTTGTTACTGGTTTCCAACTTCTATCAGCACTAGCTATCACAGTCATTGGTAAAGGAAGATTAAACATATTTCAACATCTGGAGAATCACATGTTCCCCACTCTTGTTTTATATTTTTCAAACCATTGCAAATTCTCTCTTACCAGCAATAAGTCCTGTGCAGCAATTCTAACTGTATAGGAAAATGTATCATCATCTTCATCCTCAACAAACTGTTGTGGATTAGCTGTCCAGACTTTTATCTGAAAAGCAATCATAGCAGTTCAATAATTTATAGAAATATCTTTGCTTATTCAAGATTACACATAATTAAACTTCCACATATAGGAAGTCCTCAGTTAATGACCATTTGTTCAGCAACCATTCAAAGTTATGATGGTGCTGAATGAATGGTAATTATGCCCGGTCCCCAAAGTTACAGCCACTGTAGCGCCCCCACCGTCATGTAATCAAAATTTGGGCACTTGGTAGCCTGCCCACACTTACAACTACAGGGGCACTTCTACTCCTCCCACCAGCCTACCTCCCCCCCATCTCTGCCCTTTTGTCCACCCTGAACTCTACTGCCTCTGCCAGCCCTACCACCCTGCGCTCCGCTGGCCCTGCCAGCCTGCTGTCTCCAGTGACATTTGCTGTCATCTTCCTCCCACTGCTATTGAGGCATGCCTGGCCTGGCCCTTCACGAGGCAGCTGCTGTCCACACCAGGCCTGCTTCCCAAGGCTGCACACGCCCTTGTCCAAATTGGGTGTGGATGCTTTGAAGCCTTCCAGGAGAAGGCTGCATGCAAATTGGACAAGAGCATCCACCGCCTTGGGAAGAAGGCCTGGCACAGCTTGCAGCTGCCTCGTACAGCCCCAGGGCCAGTGTGCTTTGTCAGAAGCAGGAAGAAGAAGACAGCAAAAATCAGCAGGGCCAGCAGAGTACAGGGCAGCCAAAAGGGCAGAGATGGGGGAGAAAGATAGGTGAGTGGGAGGAGTTGAAGAGGAGGCAATCCCTCACCTTACTGAGGCTCAGGGCTGGGAGGGACCAAGCTGGGAATGACTTTGATTAGGATGGGTTCTTGCCTAACGACTGGGTGGAGTTTGATTAACAATGGCAAAGGGGACTGCTGGGATTGCCATCACTATGTGATGCAATCACGTGATGTCACGCTTTTCATCAACATTGCTTAGTGATGGAAATTCCGGTCCCAATTACCATCATTAACCAAGGACTACCTGTATTAGAAAGGATCTAGTTTTATTCCTAAATCATATTAAAGAAAAATATTTTATGTACTGCAACAGACATGAAGTACTACCTTTCAGAAAAGACTCATGATGACAGAACAGATTCTATCAATCTTTTCCTAGCCTACTAAACTGATGCATTTCACATTTATTTAGACATCCAACTTCCACAGTTCCTAATCAGCATGACTGATGGGTGTAGTACATCTAATTCTGAAAGTTATAATTGTAACACATCCCAAGAGCTTCAGCTGAAAAAGGAAGCAATAACAAAATAGCTGTACTAACTACAAGGCAGTAAGTTACATGTTAATCACTCCTAAATCCACACAGCTGCTTTGCTGGTTTTTCTCCACTCTTGGAGCTCTTCTATGTAATTGTTGTGCTCCACTGCACAGCATTGTAAGGACAGTGATGGGCAGTTTTCCCTGGCTGAAATTCTAATCTCACCCAATGTCACACACTATGGGAAAAGCTGCCACCAATTGTTAGACAAAATGTGTATCAGAACTGTGTTTGTCCCCTCCGGGCACTTCATCTCTTTAATTTTTAAAAAATATTTTTTAAAATAACCTACATAAGACTGCTATTCTTATAACAACAAATAATACACCAAATGAAGTCGAGTTATAACATAAAACTACAGTTGCAGTAGTCTTATGAAACATTTTCATAGGTGCTTCCATTTACAGATTGTCTGGTTTATTGCATACTAGAATGACAAATCAGAACTGCAACCTGCAATCCAGATGATGATGATTAATACTCTTTTCTGAAAAATGCTCAGCAATCACTGGTAATTTAAAGTCAATTCAAGGTTTACCCCAAAGCTTAAGAACTGTCCAAATACCACCATACTAATGAATAATATTATATCATGTATACATGTAATTATTAAATTCTTATTTGTTGAATTTATATAGCCACCCATTCACCACGTGAGTCTGGGCAGCTAAAAAGGATTGAAAACTTCAAATAAAATAGAAAACGTTAAAATAATAAAATGTACTGCGCTGGGGACCAGAGACACAACTCATATAGTTACAAATGGACTAGTGCCTGGGGGAAGAAATAGGTCTTCAGGACCTTCTTAAAGGCTAACAGAATCAGGGCCAACTGAATTGGGGTGGAGTGAAAAAGGGAAAGTTGAAGACTGGTTGGAAATTATCCCACACTTCAAGAAACACCAATGGTGTTTGGATTATCCCCTCAATCAAGGATGAATTCATACTGCTTGGAACCAAGTACACATTGCTCCTGGAGGGCTTTGGCCAATCAGAAGGGGCAGGGATCTAATAAGGCAGGTGGCTGTACTCACAGTCCCAAGAACACTTCCTCAAGGCTTACAGTCTGAAACTCCTCCCAGAAAACCAAGCTATATCATACCTCAGTCACCTCAGCAGGACACGCACGGCTGAAGGCAAGCTCAAAGTAGATCCAAATATTTTATCCATCAGATGCCTAGAATAACCTGCACAACAGCCTAGCAGATGTTCCACTGACTCTTCCTTCCCTGTAGGCGACCAGGTCACCTTGATGATCTCTAGAGGGCAGCATTACTGTTTCACAAGACTATCGATCTGCTGTGAGATCAATCGTCCTGTCAGACAAGACTTATGTCAAACAACCTCCCACAAAAAGGTCTGCCTCGGTGATTAGAGGAGCCAATTTGAAATATTTTTTAGGTTTATTCCTGTTAAACACTGATCTCTAAGATATTTTGGAAAAGATCAATATTTTTATTACAAGTTCAAGATGCTGTATCATCTCAGAAATATTCTGAGAAATGCTGCAATGAAAGTAAGTGCTAGTGCACAACAGGGGAGGGGAGCTGCAATGTGAATTCTCTGGAATTTTTTAAGGGGCTCCTAATTGTTTGATTTAGTTTTGTTTGCCAATGGGAATATTAGTCTCCAAGAAGACCACATTCAATCTTCCATGAGGTATATATTCCCATGTGCAAACTACCAAAAAGAATGAAAGAATACACTGCACTACCACGGTATCCAGTCTCTCTTGTAGCTACAGTCAAAATGGCCATGGAGGCACAGTGCCAAGTGATGAGATAGAAAGAGGTGATCCCATAGCAGTTCTGCCTAGCTAACTAGAGCCAAGCAGGTCATTGACTTTGACTGTGTCATCTGAAGTCTTCTTCCTCATGTATCCTAGGTTGTTTGCTTGAGAGCTTTTGTATTTTTTTTTTCCACACCAGAACCCCTCAAGCTAACTTTGGGCTGTCTTAACTGCAGATTAGCTGCAGGCTAGTAACAAGATGTATGCAATGTCTTGAGACTATGACCTCTAAAAATAGTGGGGCATCTTCATGCCATGGCAAGCAGGATGTGTGGCTGAGACATTTATCTAGTAATAAACCTGTTTAGGCAAATATTTTTGATCCATTACTCACTTAAGCTTCTAAAGCGAATAAATCACTACTTTGCCATATAGTACAGACTGTCTAATTTGGACAATTAAACAAGAGAGGTGAATATGTGTAGCTCAGGGTTGAACTGTGAAGTCCTTGGGGTTCTCTGAGCTTGGTTCTTTTCTTGCAAATGTTTCATTACCCGGCTAGGTAACATCTTCAGTTTTGTATTTTTTTTTTCCACACCAGAACCTTCACAGTTCAACCCTGAGCTACACATATTCACCTCTCTTGTTTAATTGTCCAAATTAGACAGTCTGTACTATATGGCAAAGTAGTGCTTCACAGTTCAACCCTGAGCTACACATATTCACCTCTCTTGCTGAAGATGTTACCTAGCCGGGTAATGAAACATTTGCAAGAAAAGAACCAAGCTCAGAGAACCCCAAGGACTCCACAATTAAACAAGAATTGGTTAAATCACCGATACTATGTTTTCTCACACAGCAACCTGAAAAAGGAAGAGCTACTTTAATGACTAGCAGAAAGGTGCTGTACTCACACAAGGTCTGAGGTACACCATTTTTGAAGTGTATATAGCCATACTTTCTTGCAAACATTTCAGATATGAAATGAGGTTTGAAAAACATTTTTACATCAGTAGAAAGCCTAGGTCCCTCCAGATTGTGCTAAATGCCAACTTCAAGCATTGCTCACATTGCCCAAGACGAATGAGACTGCTTGGAGTTGTATTTCAGCAACATCTGGAAAGTTATAAGCTTCTAACCTACTTTTCTACAATATAGTAGACAAAAAGTATGCTTACCTGCTCCTCTGTTATCTGCATATAGAGAATGATGTAATATATTAATTCAGGCAATGCTTTCTTCACTGTGCTTTTAAACTTGTGGTTTTCTAACAGAGCATGAACAAACTCGAATATGCTGAAAACTAGGTTTTCAAAGCCCAAAACTTCACCTAAATTTTAAAAATTATATGAAAAATTAATATTAAGGGTCTTTCAAATTATTACTTCAGTATGTGACAATTATATTATTTTACATAATTCAAATTTCATAAAACTATTGCCAATAGCTTACTTTTAATTTTTCATTGCTGTTTTACTCACATTTAAAATATTTTTAAAAATCTCCAAATAGATATGTAACAAGAAAACTTATTAAAACAACCTAAATTTGTTACATCAAAGTCTTTGATATATCTACCCTAATTATGTACCAACATTTTAAAGTATTTATAACCAACTTATTCTCTATGACAGCTCAAAGCATCACTAAAATAAAGAAGTATGAACTATTATAGCAGCAATTAAAAACATTTAAGGTATTAAAATGGAGTCTTTTGATATGCTTTTCAAGAATGACTTTTCTTTTTATAAGGGCAAGTGTATAAATTTCCTTAAAATATCTATTTTCATTTCACCTCTAATAAAGAGTTTTCCTACCATCAGAATCGACTGGATCTTCCACTTCTTCTGTATAATTTACTTCTGTTCTCACATAGGTAATGAGTAAATTAAGGAAAATAAATATAGCTACCATATAATTAGATTACAATGCAATTATTTCATCTGTTATGGAAGAGAATTGGATAATGAAAAATTCAACTCTTTTCATTTATTAGAAAAAGGCCTAATACAAAATAAAAAATAATACTAACTGAACTAACATGAAAAAATGCCCTCTCCAAAACATTCATTTTTTTATTAGCAAATCATTCAGATACATAATTAATTCCTCACATTATAAATAAAACTACTGGAGACTATCAACATTAGAAAATGTGTAAAACATGTACAAACCAGTGTTAAAGAAGTCTAAAAATAACAATAGTGCAGTATGGTCTAAGAGTATAAATATCAACCAATTCATTAACTTTTTTTTTTAATTTTCCAGCAAAAATATACCATGTATTAGTTTATGCTAAATATCAGAAAAACATCAACCTTCAGCTTCAGCTCAATCTTATCAAGACTGAATAGCTTTGGATCTTGGGGCCTTCAGGTACCAGGAACTTACCATCTTAATGCAGGATAGGGTGGCACTACCCGAAACAGACCCTGTGTGCAACTTGGGGGTCCTGGACTCATGACTCCTGCTCAATGAGTCGGGGCTAGGAGGACCTTTGCACAACTTCATGCCCCCTTTCCTCTACTTTCAGTCACTCTTGCCCTGATCACCTCCAGAATGGATTACTGTAACATGATCTACATGGGGCTGCCCTTGAAGAACATCCGGAAGCTGCAACTGGTGCAAAACACAGCAGCGCGAGCAGTTATGTGCACTCCTCAATCAGCATATATTACACCTCTCCTCCGCAAGCTCCATTAGTTGCCAGTTTGCTGCCAGGTTCAATTAAAGGTGCTGGTAATGATCTATAAAGCCCTATATGGCAAGGGGCCAGGTTATTTGAAGGACCACCTCTTCCTGGTTACATCTACCAATCCCACTGGATACAGCAGAAGAGGTATGTTACAGGTCCCATGTATTATGGAATATCATCTGACGGGGCCCAGGAGAAGAGCCTTTTCTGCCGCAGCACCCACCCTTTGGAACATCATTCCCCCCAAGGTCAGACTAGTCTGACCTGGTGGCCTTTCAGAAGGCTCCAAAGACATGGTTTTGTCATAGAGCCCGGGGATCTGGTGGAGATGTGGAGCCTGCTAGTTGGTTATACTGTTAGTAATGTATGGATTGAACTATCCTGCAGATTATGTTTTATGGGTTTAATTGTTTTAATTGGTTTTTATTCTAGTTGTTTATTGTTTTTGTTATTTAATTGTGTGAGGCCCTCAGAGTCATATATGTGAGATAGGCAGCTATATAAATTGAATAAACAAACTTCAGTTGATCAGACATATAGCACAATTTTACTACCCAATTTGAACATTCATTTCTATTACTACATATAACTACATATAGAAAATAACTTTTTAAAAATCTTGTTAATTTTTATACAATATTTTTAATGACTACTGAATAGGGTAAAGTTTATTGTTGCATTTATTCTACGTTTCCTTTTGAAACAAACCTAAAATGGTTCATGAACCTTAGGGAGTTTGAGCTATACCTGATTTAAGCAGTTCATACTATGATGACAACAAAAAGAAGTTAATGCATACTATCTTACGCAGCCTTATGTGCCAATGTGGTTATTTAGCAACCTAAGCTAACAGCAGCCTTCCATGAAAAGCAGCATTTACTAAGTCACAAGAGTTTTAGTGTAGAAGAAGATATTGGAAAGCCAGCGGGAAAATGTTTTGAATAGATCTTTTGGGTCCTTGGTTATACTCTATTATCTATATTACAGAAATATTTTATTGCAAATTAGTATCTACCAACTTTTCTCCCTTACCCCACCAAATTTCCTTTCTAGGAAATCTATTCTTATTGCAAACCAAAGCAAAAAGGGTATAAGGCTGCACTTTCTGTAAGTGTATTCCAAACAATAGGAAGAATCTGTTGCATAGAGGAAATCATGTGTCTTGGGTAGTTTTTCACTAAAGCTGTCACTGCCTGGAGGAAGAAAAACAGCTTGTTAGAATTATTAACATACTTCTCAGTACACTTCCAGAATGATAACAGCATCTTGTTTTGAATTTGGAACAACTGTTTTAAAATCAAACAAGGGTGTTTCAAATTCAAAATATTTTGCAATTACTAATAATGACACTTTTATTAATTAAATGAACGTAGATACACATATTCAGAGATACAAGTTCTATAAATATACCACATTACAAATAGCAAGTGACCACAATGGGGTGAAGGCAAATGATGAATACCGTGGCTTGATTTACTTGCATCAGATATCAGTATGCAAGTATGTAAGGTCAGGATTTGCATCATGATGTTACCATGTAGTCATTTTGACATAGTATCAGTTTGCTGTGGATGCTCTGAGCACAATTAAGTTCTTGTTAGGTTTAGAACATGTTATTAATCCTTGAGAACCCCACTGAAAACAGTCTACGTAAAAGCTTTACACTTGAGCTCTGACAATTCTTAACACACAAGGAGACATTTAGAATATACAGTCTTCTAGATTGCCATGATCTGGTCTTATGTTTTATGTTTACTGTATAATAAATATCCTGGAATATATGCTCACAGACCTTTACTGTTCCCCAAAAAGCTAAGCACAGTGCAGCCTAATTGTACCTGGATGGGAGATGACAAAGTAACGTCATGGCTTTAAACCAGACTGGAAAGTAAAAAAAAACAACCTAGAAAAAGACAGTGGCAAGCCACTTTGATATCGCTGCCAAAAAGACTATCAGGTCCATGTAGCCACAAGGAGTTGACTTGAGGAAATCTCTTACTTTTATTTAATTCATCATAAAGCATGCCACTTGCCAGTAATATCATTTCTTGACAAGATTATTCTCATTTGATCCCAATGGAAATATTTTCATTCTATGGAAGGATTTCCCCTGATTTCTTTTACGGTGAATTCTTTTTGTGACAAATCAATGGTATCTCAATGGTATACTGATTCCAATTCTACTTTACTCATATTATATTACATAAAACGCATACTGCTGTTACATCTCATATTACACTGACAAGAACATGCAAAATTCTCATTTATGTTGCTCACTGCAACATCAAACTCCCATATAATCAGATACTTTACTTGCCTTTAAAACTTCCATTTTAAGTCCACTATCTGATGTAGGCCCATCAGGCATTTGCAAGGCCTGAACAAAGGCTTCAGTAAACTGCTGCACCACAGGGAAAATCAGAACTTTGGCTGCTCCCTATCAAAAGAAAAAGAAAAAGTGTAATTTGCTCAAAATGAGAAAAAAGGGAAGATTCAATATTTATACATTTCATTTTTATACCTGTACCATATGAAAATCCAGTTGGCTATAATTACGATAGCTTTCAAAGTCATACATAATCTCTAAATACTTGACACTCATGTATCTTAAATAAACTCCAAGCCTCCAACTAATAACTACTAGGGACAAAATAAGATTTCGGAAAGTTGTTCTGAAAAGTCCGAAGTATGCTGATAAAATATTAACAAACTAGGAGAATTAGTTCTTGGAAAGGCCTTACACCTAAAATAGCTGGATGCCTATCATTATTCAACAAATGCTACTAGACAAAAATAGTTCCCAGAGCACAAAAAACTTCTTAGTCCAAGGGAAAACATACATTGTTAAAATAAATAAATAGCACTGAATCAAGTAGCTTTTAATAAAACTCTTTTATTCAACTTGTTTTATTTTAGAAGAAATACTCTATCACTAGAAGAGTTAGATTGAGTACCTGAAACCTCTAGAACCTAGATAATAAGATCAAATTATGGATATCTGAGGGACCGCTTGTCTCCAGTCATTTCTGCCCACTCAGTACATTCTGGCAGAGTGGGTGCACTCCAGGTCCCCTCTATTAAACACTGTCATCTTGCGGGACTGAGGAAGTGTGCCTTTTCTGTCATAGCCCCCACTCTCTGGAACAGCATCCCCCCAGAGATAAGGGCTGCACCCTCTCTCCTAAGGTTCCAGAAACCTCTGAAAACCTGGTTTTGGTCCCAGGCCTGGGTTGAGGTACTACTGTTTGTCTAGGGCCCCTGTTTTGTTTGATTTTTGTTGTCTATAAGATTATTTCAATCTGGGTTCCTGCTTGGTTTGATGTTTTATCTGCTTCTGTGGTTTTTCTAGTTTTGTACGCCACCCAGAATCCATTGGAGTCAGGTTGCTAATAAATCAAACAAATAAATAAATAAAAATCAGTTTCAAATAAGGTTTGTATATCCACAACAATAGTTTGAAAAAGGGTCTCAGCTTGGCCTTGGCCTTGTCATGACTCTCCCTTTTCTTAGTGCTTGATCAGTTTCCTTTATAAGCCCCATTTATCATGCCACTAAATATTGCTCTCCAGTGATACTACAAAGTCACTTACTTAAACCACCAATTAAAATATCACTGACAGCTGTATTCAAGTAGATCTCGCAATAGTAATCCCAGCCTTTTTATCTCATGCTTAGATTAGTATAATTATTTGAAGTTTTATACTGCTGTGTTCTATTTTGTTTTACACTGTGCATCAGTTCAAACATTCATAAATAGTTTAATAAATAGGTCTCAGAACACAGAGCAAGCATATAGTTGCCCACCTTAGAAATTACTATAACCAAGTGAAAAGTTTCTTAATGGTAACACTTAATAACAATAAAAACTGCTAGTACCTAAGCTTAAGTTTTCTTTGGTTGAATATTTCAGAAATATGTTTCATCAAAGCTGAGTTATACAACACAGAGGAATCTGAGTGACAGTGATTAAGATATAAATGCTTTTCAATCATAACAGTTACTGGCATTTTTGATCATGTCACCAATTTTTATAGTATCATAATCAGTGTAATATATAAGGAAATCAATAATTTACCTTTTCCAACTCTTCCATGTTGCAGATCATCTGTGCACAAGTGGTGAAGATTTCTACAGCACGTGATCTTGTACGAATACCATACACCTAAGAAAAAAGAAGCAGCTAACAATTGTGAAAGAGCCTGGGTGTTCATAGGAATTGCCTTCCCTAATACTTATTGTTACTTAATATCTGTCAGAATGCTTTCTAACAAAAACAGTTTGCTTTACAATTTTTCTCTATTCAGAAAACCTAAACAAAATATACTTCATTAGAAGATAAATATTTAAATACAAAATAACTTTTTATTTTCATAATGACCTCCAAAAGATATCATACCCCTAGCTGAAAAGGTTTGACTTACTAAGTTAAATGTTTAAGATGTTAAATTATTCCAGGTTTTACAGAAGAATTGATATCTTGATTTTATAAAAAAGGAAAGGAAAAGGAAAGGAAAACTGCTTATGGTGTTCTGTGGCAAATTAGTCTTATGCTATCATATAATTATAACTTGAGATCTTTAGGGGCAGCTGACAGAAAATTCTAGGATGACAGAAAAGACATCTTACTGGAGTTTTTGGTTCCTGCAGCTTTTCTCCTCCACAAAGGAAAGGGGTCTATTAAAATGATTTATCCCAAATGCAGGTGGATTCCACTGGGTACTTGAAAGCTCTGGGGAATTTTTGGCCTCTCAAAACCCTAATTAAGGTATCCATTAAGGTTCCTCATGTGAATGAGGATTCAGGAAAATCAAGATCCTCACTAGTAGAGAGTCTCCATGGATAGTGATGCTCTCCAATCTCACCCTTTACACATGGAGAAAACAAGAAAATGAAATCATCAGACATCCCAAGCATATTTACCCGAGAACACGAGCAGCTGGACTCAGTGGATTTTATCACAGACTATGCATGTATAGCTTTCCTTCTGGACGCTAGCACAAAAGCCTCTATCAACCCATTTCCTTGCTGGAAACAGAAGTAAAATCCAGCTCAATAATCCACGTACTCCTCAGTTATACTTTATAAGCCTGACTAAACTGATCTATCCTCAGAACAGCATCAGCAAGTCCATTTGTATTCAATGGTTGTTGGAATGAGCAAGATGGTTAGTCAAGCCTGGTCAGTGATGTGTACCCACAACCCTTTTCCTTCCATGCTTACTGGAGGTGTTCTGTATTTGGATCTAAAGAAGACAAGAAGAAACCCCAAAGGAAGTAACTCTAGAAGTATAGTAAATCTAGATATACTAATATTTCATGTTATTCTTATCACATGGAAGACAACAATTTTCATCCATACCTCAGCCATTGTAAAAATCTTGTACATCTCTGGAAGAATAACTGGAGCAACAAGGGGCATCTGTGTGTCTGTTACCTCTCGAGTGAATTCTACGAGATAATAAACATAACATAGCCAAATTATGGTTTCACAGAGATTTATTCAGGAGTAACACCTTATTTCTATGCTGTTTATCCATTTTAGCAGCACACAGATGCACAAATGGACAAGGAAAAGAATAAGTTTCCCTTGTAATTACACCAACTGGAAGTCTAGTTCTCCTAAATAACAAATCTATGTCTGGCCTCTATTATTTAAAATTATAGATGGGAGTTCACATGATTCAAAGCCATCTTCATATATAAATATTCTTTGTACAACGAAAATCATATAGACACACTAAAAAGTCCTAACTGAGCTGACTCATTATCTACCTCAATGAGAACCAGGCATATATCCATAATTTATGATTATGTATTGACTCTCTTACATGAAGGTGCATTAAAACTATTCTCTTATGCACACATCAGTTCTCAGCTTTTACTGGTTAAAGTAAAACAGATTTACAGAGATTAGTATATTTGATATAAAAATTCTCAGGTCTAAGAACTAGAGTCTATGAACCACTATCATCAGTAGCTGCCATTCACCTTGGATTCTTAGAATCAATCTTTGTCGTAAGAAAATTAAAATGTTAAATAACTTCTCACTAATACATCTGAGAACTTAATATTGTTTCAAAAAATCATTTTTTTAACAAGCATATCATGGGTCAGCAACCCATGACCTACAGGCCTTACACAGCCTCATTAACAACTGAGACCATACTGATGAAATCTACTTAAATTTCGGGCAGTTTTTGTTTTTTCCTTCCCAAATTAAGGAGAAATAGGAGGCTTTCTGTTCCCATTTACTCTCTACAGATTGCCCCAAATCACTATTTTTTGAGAGTTTAAAGATGGGAGTAGGATCGGGAAGCCTCTGAAAGCAAATTGCTCCCATCACCATCCTTAAGACAGACAGACAGACAGACACACACACACACACACACACCATTGCTTTCTACTCTTATTTCCCACCTTTTAAACCTTCCAAAAGAAAAAAAAATTAAATATTTTGGCCAAATTGTGGCCCATGATCATTTGAATATTTCTCATCCCAGAGATAAAATGACACAATGTGATCTAGCAGAGGCAGAATTTTCTAGAGTTCTAGTGCAACTTTTTGTTTTCTATTTCATGTCAATGCTTATGGAAGTAAGGATCATATCACCCGGGATATCCAATGCCAGATGAATTAGTGGCTGTCTATCTGGGAAATAATTATTCTGTTAATGATTTAATGGAATGACACATTTTGTTGATTATTACACCCTATTATTTATATCATTACACAACTTCCATAAAAGGTTGGCGGGTCTAAATTCCTGTTTATATTAAAAACAACCTCTATGAACTGTACTTTTACTACAAAAATATCAAAATAGGAAGTATTTTATTTTCTGTCTTTAAAATCAAAGCAAAATGTTTCAGTAGACCTAAGTCAAAGTAGTAAAATTATCCAATTGATAGCATATAAGACACGAATACCTGTAAGCACTCGCATAGCTCCATGCACTGCATTTAGATCTCCACTGACCAGCATTTCCATCAGGAGATTAAAAAGTTCAGGCCAAGCTTCAGGCCAGTCCCAATGTGCTATTGCTGAAACTGCATAAGCAACACTTGAGCGTACTTTACTAATTGATTCCCTCAACCCATTGGGGAGCAGTTCCCTAATGGCAGCTTTTGCCTAGAGAAAGAAAAAGACGAACTTAGAAACAATCCCCATTTGCACAAAACAGCAGTATCTAAAGATGCCATAACATTACTAATCAAATATCATTAAATTCCTAGCAAAAAGTGTCCTAAGAAAATACTGCCTTTAAATGTCTTTAAAATTGCATAAAAAGGAAATACAGTCTTCTTCTAAACTTGGGTACTATATAATTGAGTTTTTAAAAACAGGCATTACCCTTTCTGTAGTTTCAGGAGGTCTAAACTTGTCTGATTGGGAACACCAGTGAGTTTCCACGTATTGTTTCAAAATCACAGATGCTAGCTATGAATAAAGAAAAAACAGAACGAAGATTCCCAGATTTATTATTTCATAAGATCTTTCATCTCATTAAAAATTCAAAGAACAGACACAACTGATTTCAGTTACAGAGGAATGCTGCTTTTTAGGTTCTAAAGTAAATATTAATCATTATTCAACAAATTATATCTGCCCAGGAGACTGCATTACATTATGTCATGAAGCAATGTATAACCTGAAGCTGATAGAGACAAAAAATATTTACAATCACATATACCGCTTTGTTTAATACTAGTTTAAAATTATTGTTTTTAATTCTTCATAGTTTAAATACAAGAATATTCCTATTCTGGAACTCTATTGATAGCAATTGTCTATTGTCTAACATCTGTGGTTTAGCATGACTGACTTGACATTAAGAATTTTTAAAATTTGTTTATGACTTCTTATTATGCTTGGTGGACATGTAAAAAAGCTAAAAAAATTTGGATCCAAATACATACATTCCATCAAACAGTGCCACTTGTTGGACCCAGGAGTTGTGCCTTCTTTGTGGCAGCGTCTGCCCTGTAGAACAACATTCCTCCTTTCATAAGGCGTTTGACCCAGGAGGTTAGGCAAACTCTACTGGCTGTGCTGCTTGTATGAGTTGGGTTATTTTTTTTTACCTTGGGCATTGTGGTTTAGATGGTTAAGTGTAGTTTTAATCTTACATGCCACCCAGTGTCACTGTTGTGAGATGCCATATAAATCAGACAGACAGACAGACAGACAGACAGACAGACAGACAGGCAATCCTGGGCTAGAGCATTTATCTGGTTTCATTTCAATCACACT